TCCTCAGAGCCCAGAGAGCAATAGCACATGTCTGCTCCTCTAGTTAAAGCTGCCGGCCAGACAGCAGTCAGCCATGTGCTTGCCAGGGGTCACTTTAAGGTCGCACTACGATGGGAGGATAGAGTGGGGAACGATATTAATGATGAGAATGTGATTGGGACTCACCTCCAACTCACAAGGCCTCCCTCCACCCCAGAAACCCAGCCCGCCAGGCTCCTTAATAGATGAGACGAAAGGATTCATCCGTACGCACTCTCTTCCTGTCCTCTGCTCTCCTTAGTGCCCCTAGCCCAGACCCAGCAGTTTATATCTCAGATTCACTAGTCTGGAGCCTTAGCCCTGCCATCCTCAGACCCAAGAGTCAAAACCCCCAGTCCCTCCTTCCTCAGACCCAGGCATCTGGAACCCCCTAGCCCCTCCTCTTTCAAAATGCCAGTCCCTCCTCCCTCAGACCCAGGGTTCTGGACCCCCAGCCCTTGCTTCAGACAGACATCCATCTAAAGTCTCAGCCACCTCCTCCCTCAGACCAAGTAGCCTGGGCCCTGGGCTTCTCTATCTTCAGATCCCTAAGTCCTGAAAGGCATCTGGGTCCCCTCTCTCTCCTTCCTCAGGCCCAGGACTAAAACTCAGGCCTCTCTTCTCTCAGAAGAGGGACCCAGAGGTCCCAAAAATCCAGAACCCAGCCCCTGCTCCTTCAAACCCAAGAGTCCTAACCCTCCACCGCTCCATCAGATGCAAGCCCTTCTGGTCTGAGCCCCTGAAGAATAAGAATCCTGACCTCAGACCCGGCGGTCTGGCGCCTCCATCTGTCTTCCCTCCGGACTGGTGGTCTCTGCCCCAGCCCCTGTTCCCTCAGACTGGGAGTCCAGAACCCAGTCCCCCACCCCCAGACCGGGGTTCCGGGGTTGGCCGTGGACAGGGTGGAACATGCTGATGCCGTCACATTTATTTGACCTTGAAGCCCAGAGCCATGGTCAGGGCCAGAGACACGGTTCTTGGACTGGGGGCTGGGGGTGGTTCCTGTGGTCTTCTCAGTGCTGAGCCTGAGGGAGGAAGACAGACAGACAGACTTGGGAGAAAGAGCGGCTGGCACCGCGAAGGAGGGACTATGGCCACCTGGGCACGGGCCCCCCTCCGCAGCCCTCTCCCGGCTCACCTTGTTGAAGAAGTAGATGGAGGCTAGAATGGTGAAAACAGCCATAGCCAAGGTGACGTTCTAGGGAGAGGGAATTGGAGGTCAATCCCCAGGCCCCTCCTCCCCCTCGGCCCTGCCCCAGGGCGCCCTCCCCGCTGGGCTTCTCTCCTCACTTCCTGGAAGTTCATGACCATTGATCTTGAGCAGAAACAGGCCCCCCCTGACCTCTCTCGCTCCCTTTGCTGGGACTCTGAACTGGAAAGGGGGTTGTCTGGGAGACTAGAGTGGTAGCCATGGTGACAAGGCCCTTGTGTGATAAGAGAGAAGGGCATTCTGGGTAGAGGGGACACTGGGGACAGAGGCTTGGTTTGATAGCTTTTGTTTGTCAATGTGGCTGGGCCAGTATCCTCAGTAATAGAAGATAATCAGCTCCACAGTGGACACCGCTGTGAGCGGCTAAATTGTTGTGGGAAGAGTCGGGCCACAGCCCTGAGGCAAAGGGAAAGAAGGGTCATCAGGGGCGTGGACTAGTCCTATCAAGTGGGTGCTGGGTAGAAGCTGGCTCCCTTCTTGCTGGGTCTGAACCTGCACCTGCCTCATCGACTTCCAGTTTTCAGGACTTGAGCCAAAGGCCCGCTCTATTGCTTGCCAACCCTGGGAGCTATCAGCCACCTGCCATGTTGCCTGTCAACCTAGGGTCTGTTCAACTCTGCAGCCACAATCCCAACCTGCAAACCTTGGTCTCATCCATTTCTGCTTCTATCGGCCTGCAGCCTTCCTGCTTCCTGGTCTGTCTTCCTGATTTTCCTAGCCCTGGCAGCCTGTGTGAGTCAGGAGAAGCTTCCAGCTTAACCTCTGACCCATGGACTTGAACCAGTCTAGATGTATTCACTTAAACTATGTGAGCCATTTCCTTGATATAAATCTCTTCATATATACGTGAAGGGGTACCCCCCCAAAAAAACGATTCCTCCCCCAAAATCTATGTATTTAAATTTTTGAACAAAACAACTTATCACCTTCAAAAGACTCTCCTGACACTTAATACACGTGTCAAATCCGCAGTCCCGTTCTTCAAAACGTTTTTCAAACACATCTTTTTCAACGACAGCACCGCTCTCGTTTTTTTTTTT